TTCAAATCATACACACATCCGGCCCCCGTCATAATACTGCAGCATCGGCAATACTTATCAAAAGTTATGGCTTTTATAAACTTTTTATCTCGTATTTAATCTGGTTATCAAATTAATAGTTGCCTACAATGTAGGTGCACGTACAAACGAATCGGATTACAACATACACAGATAGTGCACAGCAACCGAACCGTTTATTCGGTTTTTTTTTTCATTCTTTCTTTCGTGTTGTTGGCAACTGACTGGTTTTGTAATGCAGTGTGCTCGTTGTGTCGCACGTTCTACATGCTTTTTAGTTCCACAAACATTTGATGAATACACATCTTTTCTTTTTTGAGAGTGACATTTCGCATATATGCCCTGATCCCATAACACAAACTGATCTCAACCCGGACTCAAGAAATCTCAAAAATACAGTAGAACGTCATTCTTTATGATATTTCACGACAAAAAATATATTGTGCTCTTGCTGAATTGTTCGCTTTGCCTTGTGATGGCATTCTCATTCCAACTTTTTTTTTAGATAGCATGAAGATGTGGAGCTTTATCAAATAGAAAGTACAGTTTTGACATGGAAATTTGCGAATATTCAAACGAGAAAATAAAGAAGAAGAAGGAGGAGGAATGAACGGAATCGCAAAAGAATGAATTGGAACATGAAAAAGTTTAATTTTTGTGTACAGGTAAATGCATTAACGTGAATGTGAATCATCTAAACAACATGTACTTCAATCATTTCGACGTAGCTTTCATTTCAAGCTGTGCAAACTGTGAGTGAGTACATTTCGAAATGATGAGCAAATTAGGGAAAAAACGTGCCGACGTTGAAACTAATTAAAATTGCATATGTTGTAATTCATTTCGAAGCCATTCGCATTAATTCACTGTTGCCGTTGGCACTCTTTGCAAATGTCAAATCCAAAATGTGATTTTGTCTGTGGAATTTTCCTCCGAAAATGAAATCATTTCGTCCAGCAAATGGTATCAGCGAAGCAAATCGGACAGGGTCAATGTGTTGGCGGCAATGCGCTTTATTTAAGAACTCACATATACACACACACGCACACGCACACACGTGGTATCACGATAATCTGATTAATTTATTCGTATACGCATCGTGATCACTCAATGCATGTACCGACCACTTATCGTTTTGGATGACGCTGTTACCATTTCCATCTGGTCGAACGAATTTTCCTGACTTTCAGCTGCCAAAATGTGAGATAAAACGAATGTAATAAAAAGTAAAAATGTAGCCCGTGTAAACACTAAGTACACCAACATCGTTATGACGCAGCAGAGATGGGGCGAAAAAAAAGACAACGTATTTCGTTTCGTCCAGTCAACAGGAAACTCTATACCAACCAGTAAATTAATGGGATTTTTTATGAATCCACGTAAAAAAAAAAGAAATATAAAACAAGGAAACCGAAAAGAGAACGCGAAAGGAAAAAATAAAAGCTTTCCCTCTGAATGCTATGGAATCCGGCTATTGCGGACTGTTTTACACAAAATTTCCTGGCGCCAACGGTAAATACACACTCATTTTTCATCTTGGTTTTAATTTTTTTTCTCACCACTCATTCCCCACATCCTTCACTTTTCTCGTTGGCCAAGTCTTCATTCAACCTTGTTCGATGTTGTTGTTTTTTTTGCTTCGCTTTTCGAGAGAAACTCCACTTCTTACATTTCACTCAAATATATTTTTGTAGATTATGATTGGTCTAATGTAATAGCCTATTAAGGAGTCATCACTTTGATACATTTGCCAAAAATTTGAGACAAGAAAGAGCCAATGAGTGTTTTGTATGTGTATGTGTGTGTGTGTGTGAAGAAAGTGAAGGAAATTCGAGAGAATTTTCCGCCAACATCGACCATAATAACGCTAAATGAAAGCTAAGTATGAATTAATGTACAAAGTTTTACATTCGTTATGGGGCTAGCTCGCTCATTCATTTTCTCTCCTTCTCTTCCTCTCTCCCACTTTTCACATGCATTCTGCGCTTTCAGTTGTACTGGTATTTTTTTCTTTTGCTTTCTCTTGCACTCTTAGTCAACGAAGCAGAAACATCTCGTTTTTCGTGAACGTTTATTTTTCATAACTATCGACCAACATGTTGTAATTGGTTTGATTTCGAATTAATCATGCATGTGGAAATGGTGAGCATGCAGCGAATGAAACCGACAAATGGACGGACGGTATGCACGGTGAACAATGATGAGGCTAAAGTTGAAATTTCATGAGAGTGCGAACATTAAATTAATGAAATGCGTTTCGATGAAAAGCATCTGACAAAGCCAATTAGACAAAGTGCGGCCACAGTAGCGGTCCAAAGAATTTTTCCGGCTCGTGCGTTCTCTTTTGCATAGTGAGTGAACGAGAAAGCAAAAAGAAAAGCACTTGAGCCACTTTTTGCACATCATCTCATTGAACCATTTTAATTGCGTTTGATATAAATTTCAAACCAAATATTCTTCTTGCTATTTCTGTGTTTTTGTTTTCATCTCGAATTTTTCGTCTTTGCATCAACAAATAAATCGTAGAAGAAAATGTTGGAAATTTACGTAAGCTTTTTTGGTTTTTCCCATTCTCTTTCAATCTCTTGCATGCACACGCTCGTTTGCAACTCTTTTGTAATTTAATACAAAATGGTGCCTTTTCCGCTGTTTTTTTTTTCGCTCCACGCCATCCTTTTATCGCCTTCGCCTGCATCATTTCCAACTCTTAACACGCCACACTATACTCATTCTCGGCCTCGTTTCTCGATGGTTTTTCTTTCCTTTTTTTTTTCTCTTCATCACGGTAAATTGTTGCTTTGTGTGTAAATGTTGAAACAGTCGCAAATTTCGATATTTAAATGCCCATTTCAAGCGAGCGCGAAGAAAAAAATCTCCATTTTTCAGTTGATTATTGCAAATTGTGGGCTTGGCCTTTTCACCTTTTCTGTTTCTCTTATCATATTATGTGTTGTTTTTGTTTCTTTCATCGTTCGCTTGTTGAATAATCATAATTTTTTTTTCGATGTCATGTTTTCACTAAATAACGGCACAATCTAATGGAATTTGCTAATTGCCATTCCATTTCGTTTCGTTAGATTTTCCTTCGCAATATTCTCCCTTTTTCCGCAAATTGTTGTTGCTTTTGCTCATTATCGTTCATATGTTCGGTGCCGTGTGTTCCTGTTTATAATTTTTTCCATTCTTTTGCATTTAGCATTCATAATAATGAATGGGATTTGCTTGGCTGATGGCTTAACCAAGCGAACGGGAAAACGTTCAACTCCAAAAAGAGGATACCGACCAAAATGCTATTTGTCAAACACCAAAGTGCAAATAGGAAGTAAGACAGGGAGAGAGCGCGCGGGTGGGCGGTAGGAAGAGCACGAGAAGAAGAAGAAACATAACAGAGAATTATGAAAATGATAACGACAAACTGAAACGATGCAAATGAAAATGAAACCAAAATACAAATATGCGTTTCATTTGGCAAAACCGAAGAGCGCGCAATGCGAAAAGGAAGAGAGGAAAAAAACTGCACAAATTTTTCGCCCTTTTGAATAATTATTTATGCGAATGAACGACGAACGAATTGAAAATTTCCACTCAAAAGTTGTTTTGCGTAATGATTTGGATGGCGCTTATTCGTCACGGTTGCTCTCACCATTTTCCGGTAATTTTTTGATCTAAAAGTACCCTCGCGCTTTTCATCATTTTTGCACCTTTTGACGGTCCGGATTTTACGAGTGAAGAAAAAAACTTCTCGCTTTGATTTGGCCGTTCGTTCGCATTCTTCCGCTTGCCGTCAAAACGCACAACACCGCTGCTTTTTTCGCTGCCTACTTATTGTATTTAATTCCGACATTTTCACACACGACTGCCGCTCCGATTATTAATTATTCAGCGCCCAAAAATATGCAGGAGATGAACAACCAGTGAACAACAAAAGAATTAAAATGATAAAAATAAAATATTATTCAAAAAGCACAATGATGGCGACGGCGACGAATAAAAAAGTGCCAAAGGAAAAAGATGAAAACGGAATTGAAGAAATGAACGCCAGCCAGCATTCACTTGACTGTCACCGGTGTGGCATTTTGTACGAGTGAGTGTATGTGTATGAAAGAGAGAGAGAGAGAGAGAGAAATTTAACAGACATACATGGCATGATGGTGATACGGTGACAGTAGCAGCAGAAACAAACTGAGCTAAGTATGAGTGAATTTAGTGGGAGGAAAGGAGTATGTTCAGGTTCAGAAAACATTAATACAACTATGACATCTACACCGGTTTTCGTACTCCACTTATTTCTATTATATGAATTTATGCCACCATAACGATTAGAAATGCTGTCGTAAAAAGGATCCTAACCGAATTAAAACTATAATAAAGAATTCGCAGAAGGAGAGTACGAAACAACAAAGTGCGCGCGGGCGAACGTTGAATATGAGCGACGCGCAACGGTTAGATTATATTTTCGCATAACCAAGCGATTTTGATATGGTTTTGCCGTGACTCGCTCTGTTCGAGTGTGTGTGTGTGTGTGTAGTCTACAGAGAATGGCAATAGCATTGGCAATGGCAATGGCAAATAGCGAATGGGTAAAACGTTGAATGCGGTGGTGTGTGGTTTTTTGTGACTCGGTTGCGCTGGAGTGTGGGTGAGAGTGGAAAAGTGCAAAAATTTTATGTAGTTGCTGCTGTTGCTCCTTTCTCTCGTACACTCTTTCGCCCTGTAATTATGCTTGTGGATTTGTTCTTCGGAGTCAAGAGTGAATTTGTCCGCATTACAAATTGAGAGCAATGTTGTGAATGACTAAATGTGGATGAAATGAGCAACGAATGAGCGGTGAATCAAGGGTGTGCATAGTCGGATAGAGAGAAAAAAGGATGGAATATAATGGAATGGGGTATTTTCCCTCCCATTTTACGCGTTCACTCAGAAGAAGACAAAGTACGAATAATTAATGGTTAAGAACGTGAAAAATTAAATTTAACTCTTACCTACAGCGAAACATAATCGCAACCAGTTGGCAATAACAATGTGCCTTGTGCATCTCTCATTTTGTCATCTGCCACTCTACTATCTCTATCACTTAATTTGCTATTGCTCTTCAAGTTGATGCTGTTCGCATTTTGGTTGACAACGGCAGCCGAGGTGCTGGCATTGCCCATACTTTTATTTGAGCAGCCCGTATTTAGTGCGACCGAACCCGAAATAATTGCCGCTCTGGATGTGCTCGCACCGTCGACAACATTCACGCAGCTCGCCGAAACAGTGCTCATATCGCCCGAGATGCTCACACTGTCGATGGCACTTTCTTTTTCTTCATCGGGTATGGATAGTATAGAGTTACCGCTTGCCGTTATTCGTCGTCCCATGTTATCGTATTTTGAATAGACGACCGGTTTGCCGTTGTCCTGTTTTTTCAGGCAACTCGTGCACAGGCTTATCGAACCGTTGTCGCTGAGATGCGTGCTTGTGTCTAAGTTCTGATAATTTATTACATTTTGAAGGCGTGTATTTTTACTATCCGCTGTCGATGTGTGCTGATGACTTCGACCGCCGGTCGCACTGCACGTGCTTCCGCTGTTACTGCTGCTGCCCAGACTGCCGGTGCGCTGGTGTCGATTGCGCGGCAGCGTTGCATACGATGACACATTAATTGGGAACAATTTGCCAATTACGCGATTCGGTATTGAATTCGGTATGTTCAATAGGTCTGGATACATTTGCTCGGGATTGTCGATAACGTCTTGGGTGAGCGCCACAGATATGAATATATTTCCATAAGCAGGGTTCGATACGTTGGAACAGAATTCGGGCGGCGGTGTAAAAACGCCCACATTCATCGGAAACTCTTCGTTTCGCGACAAATTCTCAATGGTAATTTGTACTGGTTCTAAAGCTATGACTGGTTCATTTTTTGCCGCCGATGGTGTGTTGGCCACTTCGCCGCTATCCTGCCGATCGTTGGTAGTGATACTGAGGTCGAGTAGCTTCTTTTCTTGATCGTTGAAGCTAACGCTGCCCTTGATGTTTTTAATGCTGCGCCGTCGTCGCGTCGTCTTCTTGCACAGACACACCAGGAACGAAATGGTGATCAAACAGAAGACCGTGCCAAATGTGCCAAGTATGAGGCCAAAGTACCAGAATGTTTCGGGCCCCTTTTCGATGACATGCTGCACAATTTCCGTTAGGTAAATGCTGATGTTTCGGCTCGCTGAACCGATATCATTCCGGGCAGCGCACACATAAATACCAGCATCATAATTTGTGATATTCAATATTGTAATATTGCGCCATAATTTATTGCCGATTGTTTCATCTTCAGTCAGTACGTTATCGTTTACAATATCTCGGCCATTCAATTCCCATGCAACGGTCGGTAATGGATCGCCGTAAATCAAGCAGCTCAGCGTCACATTGCTACCAATATCAACATTGAATATATCCTCGCTGTACACATCAACGGTTGGCTGGCATCCAAATAGCGTTTCATCGATGCTCGACCATTGCTTCGTTCGCAATGCCATCGGATTGGTGCATTGTAAACTGGCGCTCTTCTCATGGTTTTGCACATACCAATTTCGAAAGTGTCGTAAATGACAATCGCATCGCCATGGATTTCCCTCCAGCTGCAGCGTTTTCAAATTTCGCATATACTGAAACACTGGCTCCGCTAAATTCTCCAGTAAATTATTTTTTAAATTTAGTAATTCTAAAAGCTCTAAATTCGCAAATGCCAACGGATCAATGCTGTTAATTTGACAATTATGTAAATCTAAGCTGCGCAAATGTGGCAATACCGGAAATTGATATGCCATCAACATTTTTAATGGATTCCCATTCAAATACAATATCCGTAATCGATCATTGCCATTGAATGTGTTTTTGTCGAGCGTTTCAATCGAATTCTCGCTCAAATCGATTTCAACGAGAATTTTCAAGTTTTTGAATGCATCACGATGCACGGACGCGACACCCGATTTTTTCAAATAAATTCGCTGCAAATTAACCAGTCCCAGTGTTGTGAATTCCTCGCGATTCAACTGCTCAATGTGATTTTCGTTGAGTACAAGCACTTGAACTTCCGTGCTCAGAGTTGTTGGTATCGCCGTCAACTTGAGCGCATTACAAATCACCTATACGCGCAAAAATACGAACCAAATTCATTATTATTCAGAATTGTTTTTGTGTTTTCATCTCTGCATTTTCATCCATTATGCAAAAAAAAAAAATGGATTGGACTTTATTTTTCTATTTCAAATGATAGATTCTTACCGATTTTTTGCCATTGGACCACTTGCATGTACAATTCGTTGGACAGCTAAACGTCCAATCATCACTGGTCGCTTGTGATGCCACGAACAGTAATAAAACTGCAAAAAAACGAGAGACAGAAAGAAATAGAAAAAATTTAGCCATCAATGCGAAGAGATAGAATAAAAGAAAAAAACACAACAAAACAATGAACACTACAATTTATTTGAAAGAGCATGAAAATGGACTGTTCTCCCGATGTTGTCCGTCACAACGACATTCCAAAGTGCAACAAAACGAGCAGAGCACAACGGACGAAACAATCAGTTACTCCACGTTATGAATGTGCCAGTAGATTTATTTTGAAATGACATCAAACTCGTTATCCAACAAAATTACATTTTGCTGTTTTTTGTAGGTCGATGGCGTGACGTGACGGTGCGTACGCTCGTGAATTCAACATTTTATGTTGATTTTTCACAATTTTTTTCAATTCTTTACACATTTCAGTCAATTTCCTTTTTATTAAATGCCCCAGAACCATTTTTCTAACAAGATACGATAATATATATATATATATATATATACACGTTATTCGTCTCTGTGTTATACTTGAGACAGTGCCATTTTTTTTCGTCGGTTGTTCGTTCATTCGGTCGTTTGGTCGGTTGTTCGGTGCAATGTACGAGCAAAAAATGCGACGATCTCGTGTACAAAATGATGTTGCAATGCGAAACACGACGAAAGATTAGCACAAGCAAAGCAGAAAAAAATGCCATTATTCTATTTGTTCAGGTTTAATGTCTGCTTAAATAAGCCAACACAATCGAATTGCATACAGACGGCACACACTTTTCAGAGCACCGAGTTCAAACAGAGTCTAGATTGTGCACAATGTAGACAAGATCAAAGTTTTCGCAAAATGGATACTTGACTATTTGCGAAAATAAATATAAATAAATAATTAGTTTCGAGAAAGGCGATGAAAATGAGCGCCACCGTCGTCGTCATCGTCGTCGTCACTGTCGCTGTTTTGAACAACAAACACACATAGACAGAGAATTCCGTTTATCTTGTATAATTGGGTGAAGCACAACCCGTTTTTTTTTGGCAATTTATGATGATTCTTTTCGAAAATTTAACAGCAGCTAATTAAATTTATTAACCCTTTAAATGGGTTGCAAAATAATTTCGAATTGGACACACAACAACATTGCTAAGTAGTGAGTATCAATCCAACTCAGTTTCTCTCTACTTTCTACACTTGGATTGCATGTGCCAGAAAAAGGCTGGTGAGCCAATTGAAAAGAAACAGGCGGAAAGAAGGAAGTTAAACGGAGATAAATGCGACATGAGCACTAATCCAATGACAGTTCAGTCATTGATGAATGGCCGTTAATAAAATGGATACCCTTTGCAAATGACTGATTCCGAATTCTCCATGATGATAGGTAAGAAAGAAAATTGCGAGCGATAGAGAGTATGTGTGTGTGTGAGTGAGTGTAGGAATGAATGTCTCTTCTGAATTGGGATCGCTTAGAACAAGTGAAGCACTCAATCTAGCGGATTGAAGAATGCACCCCCCCCCCCCGAACCACCCGCTGCCAATACAAACTGAAGATGGAAAAAAGCATGAAAAAGAGATGAAATGAACACCCAAATCCTTGGCACGCACCAAGGATTGACTCACGACAAAGACGACGGCACAAAAAGCCGGCGGTAGAATGACAACGACGACGACGACGACAACAAAACAGCGCTCACAGTGTTCACAAAAGATCGGCAAACAAACAGACATAGCATAGTGACAACGAAGAAATATGGGGTAAAATGGCATCTTTTCAATTTATCTCATAATCGCATCGTTTTTCCTCCCCTACTCACTCAGTCAACCTATATCTTTCCCTCCTTCTATTTCTTGCCTTCACTGTCTCTGTCTCACTTTCCTGGCTTCTGGTCATACTTTTTCGCTGAATTGCTTTGTACAACAAATAAGCAATAACATATTCTTTCGATCGGCCCCACAATGACTTCTACCATTCCCAAAAAAACGCACAAAAATGAGAGGAAAAATTGGATTTAACTTAATCGGCATTTGCCAGTGGGTTCACAATTCTCTGTTCACTCACACTCTATCGTTCTGCTCTTCTTCTTCTTCTTCTTCTTCGCCGTCATTGTCGTCTGTATCGTCTTCATTTTCTTTTCCTCATTCTTCAACTATCCCTCTATGGAATCCATGGCATTCCTTTGAAAACTTTCCGTTTTTGTCCAAAACGCTCAATAAATCCATTGCCATGTGTGTATTCGATTTAATATGCACTTAGCAATCAGAAAAAATAGAGAAACGAAAAGAGAGAAACACAAACACCCCATGATATACACACAAAAAAGTATGAAGAAAGGGAAAAGAACGAAGGAACAAAAATACAACTTTTCAGCTGATCGCGTCTTTCCAACTGTCGCCATTCACGTTGATGACCCTTTTTTATTGCGCACTGCGTATATCTATATATATATATATTTTTGCAACAACGAAGAGGGCAAAAAAACGAATCTCGTCCCTCGAAATATATAATACTATCAAGCGTATTCACAAGCTTTTTTTCTGAATATCGTTTAGGTTTTTTTTCATCATTCGTTCTCTCATTGTATCTTTGCATAATTGAAAATAGTGGAAAAGAAATTGCTAGCAAAAAATGCGCATCCTCGGCCAAATGCTGGGTGCTATAATGAATTTTTTTTTCGGCTGTATTGTGTCTGTCTGCGTGTGTGTGTGTGTGTGTGTGAGCGCGCACTTGTGAATATGTCGTGCCGTGAACCATTCAATCTTCAATATGCCAAATTAAATGGATGGATATGGATTGAAATATCAAGTCTGTTTCTTTGAGTCGATTTTTCTTTTCTTCTTCCCCCGCGTTGGATGGTGCTCGTTGTGTGTACTACCTTTACACAACGTTTCAATAGAATCAAGTAAACAAGCAAATAAGCAAATACATGCATTCCATTGCGTTATGAATATTCAATGATTTGATAATGTTTTAAGACGTTGACTCGCTTCAACTCTCTACAATGTTTCCCCAGAGCAAATAGATCAAAAAGAAAACAAAGAACGAAAAGCAAAAGGCATATTTTAATTGTTCTTGTATCTGCATACGATGTTGCTGTTACTACTGATGCCAATATGCAAACGGGAACAGAAAGAGAGTGAGAGAAAGAGAGAGAGAGAGAGAGAGAGAGAGAGAGAATGGATGTGCCAACACGACATGCAGACTTTTCTTCGTTTTTTTTAGGATGAAAATTAACAATATCATCTCTGCAGCATTTTGAATTCGAGTCGATAGTGCGAACAATGTGGAGCAAGCACATTGATGCTGCTCTCACACTCTTCTGTATATGTGTGGATTTTTGAGCGCCGGCAAGTCGAAAGCATACACACATGAAGTATGACATTCTGAGCCATAATACCTTATAGCAAAGATCATGCCACATCAAATATTTACATGAAGTAAACGGAAGTATCGCATATTCTCTTGCTGTATTCGGCTTCGCTCCCAATTCTGGGACTCGATAAAATATGAACGCGGACGTTTTTCAATAACATCTTTGTTGTCGCAACCGGTTTAAATACCAGAGAAGAGCCAGAAAAAGAGAACGGTTTTTGCGAGGAAATAAATGTGCAAGGTAGTGTATTTACGCGCGCGCATTAGTGTGTGAAAAAAACATAGAATGAGCAAGGAGATTGAGGCATTTGTCTTTCATGCTTCTTGCAATTTACTGAAATAATTCTCGTTCCAATGGCAACATTGTATTCAAGCGACAGTTTTATAATACCAAAATTCGATTGCAGAGCGTGCATACTCCATTGACTTTGGATATGTGTAATTCCGTCAGTCAATATATTTATATTACCAAAGTGACGAAAACATTTGCTTTTCTAGCAATTTGACTATGTTTCTATTATCGAGTCGACAAGATATGCCAGTCATTCCATGCGATTCCATGGGCTGCTTGCTGCTGGTGTGATACATATGAGGCCAACACTGTTGCTGTTGTTGATATTGAAGTATGCGTTTGGCAAAATCTTTCGTACACAATAATAAATCGCTTTCGCAATCGAGCCGACGACATGTTTGTTTAGCAATCCTTTTCCGTTCGTTCGTTTCAATTTCTCCAACAGTTTGAGCGACCACCTCGTCTTATCACCATTTTCCGAGCGCACAAGCGACAGAAAGAGGGAAGGAGGAAGGAGGAAGAAGAGAGATAAAGCGAAATCTCCAAATGCCAGTTGCCTTTGTCGTTTCAATCACATATACACAGTACAATTTTATATTTCCGCAACCGTTAGTTGATCCAAAAAGCTATCAAACGAATTATTTGAATTTCGCCCGAATTTTGAGCCTCTGCATGTTGAATGTTTACAATTTGAAAGTGAGGAGAAAAACCTACACGCCCTCTCAGCACACCCATGCTAGATTTTCTCCATTCACGCGGCCAAATCTATTCGAATGCATGCGCGTGTGTCTGTATGCTTTTCATTTTATTTCAAACCGATTCAAAACACCAACAAGAAATCGATATGCGAAAAGCAAACAAGCAATGAGCTAAAAAAGTGTTCGTCTCGAAAAATAAACATTCAAACACATTGTGAAAACAGATTCGGCGTTTGTCAGATGCAGACAAAAATCAGATCACTGAACCTGAAAATATCGAAAAAAGCTAGGCAACAAGAAAAAAAAAATTATAATGATAAACGCACATATTCATCATTGAATTCGAATACACACGAGCCAAATGACGACAATAGACCATGCTTAGGCAGGAACGGTGCAAATATTTCATTGCTACAATCTTCTAGTTGTGCTTGACATTCAACTGGAAAATGTACAGTTTTTGGTGTGAAAGCGAGAGAGAAATAAAATATAGGGGAAGGTGGGGCTAAACCGGACGCGGGGCTAAACCGGACACTTGCAATATCTCTTGACTGGTACGTTGTATTGAAGCGTGAATGATCGCTGTGAATGCGTATTAATGAGATGCATTCACTTTTAGTATCAAAAACCGAATATATTGAGTTAGTACAATGTTAGAATTCGAAAAGTGCGAAGACGTTGTTTTTTTC